TTGCCGAACCTGGATGAGTTATTATTGTGTTTGGTCTTGGCGTTGCCGAATGCCTCGAGCACAGGGCCGGCGCCCAGTATGGTCTGCTCCACGCCTGACCCGTGGCTGCCCTTCTGCGACAGTGCCGTCAAGTGGTGTAGCAATAGGTTTGTCGACTCGGTTTTGCCCGAACCTGACTCACCACTGATTACTATGCATTGGTTGGACCGGCGTTTAAGCATCGCCTATAAATATAATATGTATTATATATGTCATTTGTGAGGCTTTGATTAGACATTTTAGTTATACATATAATGTAATCGTGTTTGCTTTTATCTTTAAGAAACCCTGAATCAATATTTCTATTTGCAATGAGTTATGTAAATATCATACAATATACAAATTCTTGACACATCAGGAAAACAAAACTTCATATTTGTTTTATTGGTAGTTATTTATGTCTGTATTAGTATTTCGAGTTCATTAATAACATGTGTTTTATATAATAAATGGTGTTTTCATAACCTTATATACATTCATCGAATAATACAATCAAAAATGAAGAGTTTATATTATAAACTTTATAATAACATACCATCAATATTACTGTTATATATTATATACAAATTAATTCATTATATAAAGTCTAATGGTAAAGACTGTTTTAAACGTAGACCTTGACTCATTTTAGTTGGTTAAAAAAGCAACTTGGTACATTTATTGATCTAATTAAATTTGTAATCCAGTTGTAACAAATAAAAGGATTATAGTTTATATTAATATACATGCAATTTCCTTAAACTATAGATGGGTTCAAAAATGGTTGTCTACCTGATAGGCGGCGTCCGCGATGGCAAATATATGAGGGGGTAATTCACCCAAACGTCGGTTTTGATACAACTGTACGTACTTTGGGTTATATATGGGATAGAACTTGAAGGGATTGACGGCGATTAATATGGAGCCCACGTACGTGTATATGTGGCCCTTGTCGAAACGTGCCTGGTCACATTTGAAATGTAAATAACATGGTAAATTAGAATTAAACACATTCATAAAAGTACATTTGAGTGTCCAACAAAAAATTGTGCTTGTTTATACAAGCGATTAACAATTATTTTATGTTTTGTATCACATATCACAAAATATTAATATAATTACTATTTGTTTCATTTTAACTTTGGCATTATATTTATCTAGATTCTTGCCCTGGTCAATATATTTTTTGCCTATCATGGTTTGTTAAAAAAGTTACTTTCATTAAAAAATATTATATCCTTGTATAATTTAATTTTAAATTGTTTTGTAACTATAAAAATAATCTATTAAATTAAATTATGATTGCATTGTATTTATAAATGGAGTGATGAGTGCATTGTATTATACTGATTTAATACAATAACTGTCAATTAATTATCAAATAATCTAGTTGAAATATTTAAATAAATACTACATGTGCATGATAACTGATTAAACTAGATGGCTTCATTTGAATAGTGGTAAGTAAACTACAGTAATAATTGCAATGAATGGACAAATTGACTGATGATAACATTTATGAGCCAATAGTGAACTCTTATCTAAAGTGAACAGTCATTCAAATGAGTGATACTTTTAATCTAAACAATAGTAACGCTTTTAATGCAACGGATTTCCGATCGGTTTTTATTATTATTAAAGACTTATTAACTGAATATAACGACAACTAAACTAAACATTCAACTGAATACACATAATGTGTAGTAATATATAGCAAATATACTGTAATTTGATGTCCACTATAAAGTGCGATACAGCACCATGGCACAAACATACAAAGCATAATTACCAGCACCGGTAAATGGCACTGGTAGCTGACACTTGTAGCATAAATAAACACACAACTACTTTATTGTTTGACTGTCGAGTACTAAACCTCATATTTATTTGAATATACAGTACTGTATGTATGGATATATTAATACGTGTCGGTGAGATGGGGGTACAGCTACTGTAGACATACCTTCAGGTTCTCTAAGAGTGTCTGTTCGGTAAGGTCTGGGAGTTGACACAAATCTGGATACTCGCGATCCCTGGGCTGGTAGAGGAAGCGGAGGAAGTAGTCTCGGATCAACTTGTCGTTGGTGTCCGTCCAACTCCACGACCAACTCGTGGTCTGCATCTTACGACGCAAACAGAACTTATAGTCTTGAGTGGAGGCACCGGTAGTAGTAGTAGTGGTGGTGTGACTGTGCACTACATTGCCATCACTGGGCACTAGAGCGCCCTTTTTGGGCCACAGGAGTTGTAGGGCAACGGGAAACTCGTGTCCGGCCAGACGGCGCTCTTTGCAGTCCTGCCCGCCGTCTGAGTCGAGCATCACTTCTGCCAACTCGTAGGAGACGGGCGTCTCTTTGAGCGACAGTTTGTCTGCAATGCAGTCCACGATCTCGTCCGCAGTCGTCGTCTTCGAGGCCTCGATGGACAGCGCCTCATACAGACGGGACAGGGACCCCACGTACACCTGCAGAACATACCGTTCCCCCATTTCCAACATATGTGTCCACTATCTGTCACAATATTACAGCGTTTACCATATAATCGCTACCATTATATACACGATATGCGAGTCCCTCACACACTCACACACCATAACACAGCCATTGCTATCATATTGCTATCGCTGTGCCAAACAACTAGTCCATAGACATAGCCATAGCCATAGCCATAGCACTCAAAAGCACTGCTAATGTAATGTAGTTTTTGTTGTCTTCACTCAATGGCTGTAGAACTGCATGTGAGGCATAGTATGAGGCATAGAGTGGGAGAGTGTGTGAGAGAGAGGCTGTCAATGAGTTCCCTCTCTGAGCGATGGGAACGGGAGGTATTAGAGTGAGTGAATGAGTGAATGAGTGAGACCATAGTATAGCCAAACAACTGCTATCTATCTCTTACAGACTGTAAACACAACACAACATTGCTTTCTATATGTTGTGTGTGTGATGTGAATGATGGGACTGGTGTTAGTGAGAGAGACCACATCCACATACTATATGTGTCAACTAAATCAACTACAATATATTAAATTTATAAATATTAATATCAATGTCAAACTATTAATACTATTAAATTAGAAATTACGTCCCATTGCATGTTAAAACTCCTTGCTAAACTTAGATTGCAATAGTTTGTTGCATTGTAAGATAATTTATGCAAGTTAGTACTGGAGTAACTAGACACCTCTTTTTTGTACTAACATGTAAACTTGACAAAATTTAATATTGATTATCAAATAATAATAATTAGTTTATATTTCAAAATACCCCGTTTCATTAGGAATATTTTAAAAATGGTACTGTGCCAGTAAGTACACTTAATTTGAAAAGCTTTTGTTAAACCATAACAAATGTCTGGTTTAAAAATAACTCAATAATTATTATAATTGAAGCTCAAGTTCATAACGAAATATATGTGCAGTTGTTTTATTCGACTGTATGTGTCAGCTGCACCTGATCACTTTCTGGTATTAAATTAACTTGTTAATATTTGTCTATTAACTTAGTGTCTAATTTACCTAATGCTTGCCATACAATGCATGACATATACAGTAGTGTATGACATTTCTAGTGATTTACTGTTAGGACAACCCTTTCTGAGATCGAGAGATAAAAATAAGTACCGTTTGGCACAAATGCCACGCGTTTAGGGGTTTACCAGAAAATTTTGTGAATAACAATTCTTACATAACATTCACTAACAGTTTAAAAAGTTTATAAATAGCTTAAAAGGTTTATAAAAATAGTCACTTAAATGCTTGTGTCTTGTTTATACTTAAGTTAGAGTGGGACTGTACTGTATATAGAAGGGCAATTCTAATGGGCTAGATTAATATTGTGTTACCGTACTAAAAGTATTATTAACAGTGATAATTTAACACTATACAAACATTTCCTATTTGAAAAATTATCAAGCTTTAATTTTGTGCCTAACTTTGCTCATAGTAATGTTTTTAAAGTATTACTTAAATATAGTGTAAAAACTTTGCACATTTATATTAATAAATAAGTATATAATCTAGAATCTAGATTTAGAATCTATGTTTAGAATCTAGAATCAAAAACATTTCAATTAAAATTTGAATGTTTGCCAATATTTAATTGTTTTCAAGCTTTTAAATAATCAAAAGTATTGAGTTTATAGTGTGAAAAGCACCTTTGTCATTAATTAACCAACTATAAACTACAAATGTAATCAATGAACCACAAACTAAATATTATAATGAGTTTATAATATTATAAAAATTATTTATACCGGTACCAAATTAATTGAATTAAATAAACAATTAATTTACATCTAATTAATCATTTTAAATGTGAATGACACCCGCTTTAAGAATGAGCAAAAACTTATTTGTATCTTTATACCTGTAACAGTAATACTGTATTAATAACTACAGTATATTGCAATCATTTATTGCCAATAAATATTGAAAAATAATTCAAAAAATGTACATACTGTAGTACACTGTACTGTATTACAGTATGTTTTAACACCATTCTGTATTAATAACAATCTTTAGGGCATAATACTTTCACTTTCTGTAATAGACATGGATAGTCTCGTACCATAAATGATGAGTTTACTTTGGGTGGATTGGGTAGAAATGTATAATACTGGAATTACTAAATCCACTTAGTCTTTTCATTTAATTTAATATCAAAATTATTAAAATACCTATGTTAGATCATATAAAATTTATATAATGTAAATCCAATCTATTCATTTAATTACATATATTTTATTGATATTATAAATTATAAAACCTTATATGTGGTGTTAAATATACTGACATGTTTTGTATGTAGTATAAAATATACCAATAGTCAATATGTTCATATGATACAATCACATTATAGTAAATATGTATGCCAAAATTAAATTGAATATTATATGTTACGTAAATTGTAAAATTATTGGCTATTAGTTTATAATAATAAAGTTTAATCATTTAATTTCTAACTAATTTTGACTGTTATATTTAATTGATTGGTATAAATTAAATAATATACCCTGTATCTATAAAATAAGTGGTGCAAAAAATAATAAAGTCGTGTAAACATTGCAATTTGTTAAATATTCAATAAAATAAAATTCTTATTGAGACTTATCTAGATATTCAATATGTTTTATAATTTTTGTGACATTTTTAAAATTTTAAATTCTGTGCAATATTATATAATTAATATCTAAGTATTTAACTATTTATTAATCAATATTGTCACATGTATAGCAACTGGCATATTGATAAAACGATAATGTGCAATTTAATATTAGAAAAATAGAAAAATGAGTCAGTTAATTAAATAATTGATTAAACTATTAATGCAATTCCAGTCATTATATAATTGTTTGGTTTAATTAAATATACAAAAGATATTGTGATGTTATTCTCAACGTTATATAAATTAAACACATTTTCTTTAAAACTGTTATTACAGTCATTTTCATTTACTGTTTTGCTCCACACATTATTCACTGTAAATATAACCATGGCCATTAATACTGGATTAGTATCCAAAATGAATTGTCCGGCCAGTGATTATA